GAAGAATCAGTTTGAAGGGATGTGTTTTACAAGAACCTAAGGACATGCACCAGGTGTGGGTGCCTATCCCTGTTTCTGACTAGGTATTAAATAAAAACTAGATTCGGGCCAGACAGAGTGGAGTCATGCCTGCAGTCCCAGCGCTGTGAGAGTCTGAGGTGAGCGGACTGCTTGAGTTCAGGAGTTAGAGAACAGCTTGGGCAATACAGCAAAACCTCATCTCTACAAAAAATACAAAAATTAGCTGGGCATGGTGGCTTACACCTGTAGTCCCAGCTACTCGGGAGGCTGAGGCAGGAGGATCACTTGAACCTGGGGAGGTTGAGGTTGCAGTGAGCTGTGATTGCACCACTGCATTCCAGTCTGGGCGACAGACCAAGACAGGGTCTCAAAACAACAACGAAAACCTACTAGATTCTGCCTATTAATAAAGCACCCCATCTAGTGGTTGGTGGGAATTTTCTGTGGGCACAACAGGAAGGGGAGGCTCAGATCATGGGTCAACTGACTAGGTTGAGGGTATAGAGTAACTAAAAGGTAGGACTGTTCCATGGAATTAATCTTGGTAGAGTATTCAACGTTTGACGTACATTTAATGACAAAATATTTTTTAAAGTTCTAATTTTTTTTGTTACTTGCATTATCCTCTTTCCCTTGTTGAAGCTGATGTGTTTGTTTTTGTTTTTGTTTTGTTTTTTATAAGTAAACTTTGGCATTCAGAATTACCATATGAATAATAGCAAAAGCTAATTCTTTTTTACACGGAAGTTACCTTTTCCAACTTTATCTGAGTGGTCACCAGTGAGGCCTTCGCTCATTTGTCATTTTTCCTTGGTCTTTTGTTAAGTTTATGATTCATTCCTTGATATTGGTTGTTTTGGTGATAAGGTCGGCGCACGTGTTAGGAGAGGACAGCAATGAAATAATTTCTCATTCTTATTATAGCTGTAACCTCGGACATTCTAGGGCCTTTGTTGTTTTCTGTTTCTGCTCCCATAGCTAATGAAAGTTTTTTAAGATGATAGAAAGAAGCATAATAATTTCCTAGATAAAATTTGAAATCTAGAGATTAGAAGCTTGAAGTTAATTTCTGGTCTATTTAATGAGAGCAGTTGCTTTTGCTTGTGACACAGGCCAGCAACCCTTGAAAGAAGACAAATGTGAATTCCAGAGTGCCTTAGATTTTCCCACAGTATAATCTAGAGGGTCATTGACTTTCTTTATTAGAGTTTATCTCTGCTTTGTATTTAAATGACAGGACAATCATGTGATATTGTTTAATCTACTTCCATTCCCTCCCCAAATTAATTTTTTAAAGCTCTTAGGATCTTTCCTGCCCCGCCAAAAACACACATGTACTCATATTTTTGGTTGGGTCATACCCAATGAAAGTCTCCTCTTTGTGAAAGAATGCCTGTTTTCAGGCCTCAGAGAGTGGACTGAAAAATGCAGAATAGAAGATGAGGCATCATTTGTAAGATTTATAATATACTCTAACTTCTCAGCATGTTTACGTAAATTATATGCTTTCACATATTTGGAAAATTGATCTTTTGGGGTTGTCCTACACGTCTTTAAAACAGGCAACAAAATAAAAATACCACTGAATTTAGACTTGAATTGCCAGCTCCGGTAGCAAAGGTTTCTTAACATTTATTCTGTAAACCTGGGCACTGAGCTTGCTACATTCTCCTGAAAGCAACTTTGAGGGCCTAGGAAAATAATCATTTAAGATGCATTGTTACTCTGTGTGTGTGTATGTGTGTGCGCGTGCACGTGCATGTGCAGGTTTGCTCTTTAGTGATCAGTAAAACACAAATTTAGAAAAGCCTGAGGATGTTCCCTGATTTAAAACTTAATTAATATAGAAGCTAATAATATATTTTCCATTCAAACGAGTGTTAGAATGCCAGTGTTTTAAAGACAAAGAAATGTATGCACCAAAAAATATCATCTTTGTGGCATAAACTTCAACCATACCTCTAATCTGTTGCCCATTATTTTCAATATGAAATACTAGTATCTTCTAGGTATGTGTTTATATGAATTACAACTCTCAACTTTGGCTGTATGATAGAAATATAACTGAAGTGTTAATTATTTGGTGAAATAGGTCCAGAGTGCTTTGAACTCCTTTTCCAAAAGCTTATTGTGGAATATGGAATTTGGCGACAGTAAAGATGTATTGGATAAATGGGTAAAAATCTGAAAAAAAAGAACACAGTCTGATTTAGTAACATCAGTGGACCCAAGTCAGTAAACTTTTAATGTATAACTGTGCCATACTCCAAGTATTAAAAAGGAGATGAATGGACCCTGTCCCTGGGAATCTTATAGTTAGAGAGAGAACCAGAGTTAGGTGTAGTTCAGTGGGCTGAGTGCCAGAGTAGAGGTGGTTCAGATGTGTCCCAGAGAAGGAGCAATTTACGGAGTTCATAGAAGGCTCCAAGGAACAGCTGGCATCTGAGTTGGGTCTCAGAGGATAACTCGCCTTAGGAGAGGACATTCCACAGTGCAGCATGCATGGGTGAAGGCGGGGAGAACTGGAGCTGCATGGTCAAGGACACGTGCCAGGAGCTGATTATGTAGGACATTACAGATCTGAAGTTGCCTGTGCCATAAGATGAAGATTTGGGCAGGGGCACTGATATGGTTTGGATTTATATTCCTAACCAAATCTCATATTGAATTGTAACCCCCAGTGTTGGAGGAGGGGCCTGGTTGGAGGTTGTATCATGGGGGCAGATTTCCCACTTGTTCTCAGAGTAGTGAGTTCTCAGGAACTTTGGCTGTTTAAAAGTGTGTAGCACCTCTCTCTTTGCTCTCTTCCTCCTGCTCCAGTCATATAGTGCTTGCCTGCCACCTTTTGCCTTCCAGCTAAGTTTCCTGAGGCCTCCCCAGCCATGCTTCCTATAGAGTCTGCAGAACTGTGAGCCAATTAAACCTCTTTTCTTTATAAATTACCAGTCTCAGATAGTTCTTTATAACATTTTAAGAACAGGCCAATACAGGCACCAAAAAAAAGGGCTTGTGATGCCATAGAAAATCCCAGTGAAGAGTTTTGAATAGGGCACTCATGCTCAGACACCTCTGATGACAGGTTTGGGGTTGGAGAAGTACAAGGATATAGATTAGAGGTACTTTAAGAGGCTGCAGTTGTTGAGGGGGGTGCTCAGGATAACCCTTTTTTTGGGGTCTGGATCTCCTGGCATCACCATGTGTTTTAGTCTACCTGTGCTGCTATAACAAAATACCTTAGACCAAGTAACTTATAAACAATATGAATTTATTGCTCAATACTGGAGAATGGGAATTTCAAGATCAAGGCACCAGCAGATGCACTGTCTGGTGAGGGCTTGTTTTCTGCTTCAAAAATAATACCTTCTTGCTGTACCCTTACGTAAGGTAGGGAGACTGGGGAGCTTGTTTAAGCCTTTTTTAAATTAAAGGCACTGGTCCCATTTGTGAGGATTGAGCCCTCATTACTTACCACTTTCCAAAGTCCCCACCATTAATACTATTACATTGGGCATTAAGTTCCAACATGTGAATTTGGGGAGATACCAACATTTAGACCATAGCACCATGTTGTGATTTTTTCCTTCTCATGGGAGGCAGATGGGACCATCCATGACTGTCATCTGGATTGCCTTGAATCTGAGATGAATTTGCGAATATTGCTATATTAACAGCATTGTCTTATAATCCATGAACATGGGATATCTTTCCACTTAAGTCTTTAATTTCCTTCAATTATATTTTATGACTTTTGGTGTATAATTCTTGTACTTTTGTTTCATTTATTCCTAAGTATTCTTTTTCATGTTGTTTTGAATGGAATTTTAAAAAAAATTTATTTTAGGACTATTCATTGCTGGCATGTAGAGATACAGTAGATTTTAAAATATCATATATCCTACAACCTTGCTGAACTTATTAATTCTAGTAGTTTTTGATGATTTGTTAGGGTTTTCTATATATGAGAACATGTTGTTTATGAATAGACTTATCTCTTTCTTCCTGATATGGATGCTTTTTATTTTTCTTGCCTAATTGCCATAATTAGAACCTTTAGTACAATGGTGAATAAAAGTGACAAGAGCAGACATTCTTGTAAAGACATTGTCTCTCATCTTAAGGGAGAAAACATTTAGCCTTTATCAGTAAGTATGATTTTAGCACTTGGTTTTTCCTAGATGCCTTTTATCCGGTTGAGATAGTCCCTTCTATTCCTATTGTGTTGGCTTTTTTTTTTTTTTTTT